TGCTGCAGATTTAAGAGAGATTCATCCCCCCTCCCCTTTATGCGAGTTTAAGTTCAGAACATTCCCATCTTCTTTATTTAAATGCATTCAAAAATCTGTTTGCTGCGAAGAACTTTGATAAAATGAGCTCTTCCCTCTCCCCCGTTTTCGATTCTTCCTTGATCTTCTAGCAGCAATTGTAAAAGAGCTCTTATCTTTTCGTTTTCATGGTTCAAAATCATGCTTGAAAAGAGAGATTTCGAAAGCTTTTTCAAAAGTTGCTGTTGGTTGAGTGACTCGTAGGTCAGTCTTTGACAAATGGAACATTTTTTGTGCTTGAAAAGAAAAGAGTTTTAGATTCTCTTTCCTCCGTTTTCGATTGGAATATAATGTAAACTTAGAATTTTTGTATTTGAATTCTGTATGCCATTATATCGTTAATATGTAGTTTTTATTTCCGTTCTTTGTAATATTATCCGTTTTAAAGATGCATTCAAATACCAGTCCTCAGTTTTATGCTGAACACTGCCTCATAAATTTTTCTTGAGCTAAGGTAACATTTTAGACGTGATACGAGTGCATAATGGCTATCATTAAAGTATGTCACTCTATTTTGTAGTCCGTTATAATGAATTGTCTGTCTTTGATGGTAATACACTGCTTATCAAAATTAAAGGATAATCTGGCCCCCCTCCAAAAAAAACTTCCTTTCTGATTAAAGTTTTCAATTAATTTCCTTTGCTGTCAAATTAATTATATTAATTATGTAAAACTGAATTCAAAGTTGTAATTCTGCGCATAGGCTAGTGCTTGAAATTGCAAATTAGGCGACTGGAAACGTGTTGAACAATGGAGTGATGTTGGAATTCGGGTGTGTAATGTTTTTTAAATGCGATTGCTGAGAGTCGCAGTATTCATTATTTATGGCAGATGTTGAAACTCGAGTGTGTAGTGTTGTTTAAATGTGATTTCTGAGAATCATCAATATTCATTAGTTGTGACTGGAAGGCATCATTAAGACCATTATCTGTCTTTGTCGGTTCGAAGAAATTGTGAAGCGTCTACAAAAACTCAGCTGCCACAGAAATTCAAATCAGCCGTCTCTACTATTCCAGGAAGAAAGTTTTATTTACTGTTGCATGACGAGGTTGAACTTTGGACGAGAAAACCTGCGATTTTATGTCTCACTCCACATTATCTTCCAGAAGGGCATATTTATCGTTGCTATCTTCAAATTGAGCCAAAAAGCTTGAAATCGTATGTTATTTAGAGACGAATCCAGGTATAGCCCTGAACTGTGACTCTAGATGCGTTTTGATCTGCTGAGAACGCGCAACTTGTTCGCGCTTTTTCCTGGAAGATCCTATTTCCATGAAAGGTTTTTGTTGGTGTGGTTGCAGTCATAAGAAATTACTGCATCGAGCTACCATCTTTTGTAGAGATATTAGGTTTTTTTTTTTTTTTTTTTTTTTTTTTACAGGAGAGATGAAAAATGAGCTATTCCCTAACTAGACTCGAACCACAAACCTCTGGAATACGTGCTGAGTGTATTGACTACTACACCACGAAGGCATGCTAAGAAGGCGGGAGAAATACCTTATATGCATCTCCTTTTAAAGGGCGACTGGGGATTAGGCGACCCAATCGCCGAATCCTGGTGGTGGAGAATCAGAATCCACCACAGTTCGGTGTTCGGGTGCCACTGTAGAGACATTTACAGTGGTTCGGGTGCCACTTTTTAGTTCGGGTACCACTGTAGAGGGTTTTTAATTTTAATTTTAATTTTATTTTTGGAAGCAGAAGCGATGAAAAATGAGCAATGCCTTCGCCGGAACTCGAACCACGGATCTCTCGAATACGCGCCGAGTGTGCTGACCACTACATCACGACCGCATGCTAAGAAGGCGGGAGAAATACCTTATACTTTGACGGAGTTTCTGTGAGCGGTCACGGGTTATGTGGGCTAAGTCTTAGATCTCCATATAAAGGGGACTGCTGGTCCTGATCTTTCGCTTATTGATAGAGAAGATATCACTTGAATAAACTGGCCAGCTTACTGACTGGTACACATATTTTTTTGTGACAGAGTGTATGTTCAGTAGTTACAGTTCGCATTCAGCCGAATTTTTTAGACTCGCTTGTCATACTTCAATTTATAAATTATAATTTTTTATCATATGTAAATTGTAGCAAGTGTATAATATTTTGAATATAGTAATTCGCTGTAAAGCAGGTCTGTGAAAGTTGTTGTTGATTTCATTGATATTAAAAAAATATCGCTGCCAGTTGAGTCCAAAATTTTAAATCTCTAGTGTATTCAGTAGGCTGCACAGTTTTGCTAATGCAAATACAGCTGTGCTGAATAATCGTTTATAGAAAGTTCCCTCTGTCTTATTTATTTTCTGGTTAGTGACTAGGTGAATGAAACTATTTACTAACAAAATACTATAAATAACTTTAAAATACGGTTAAAATGAAGGCAGTTAAAAAAAGTAGGGAAGAAAAATAAACAGTATTATAAAATTAGCTTCACTATTTAGTAAATGCAACTTCTTACTAAAGATACTCATTTATAGATAATTGTTACTACAGAATCACTTATTTATAGGTAACTTAAAATGACAATTAATCTGAGGGTAGTTAAAAAAGCAGGGAAGAAAAATAAACCGCATTATACATTTAACATGTGCTATTTTCTAAGCGAAAATATTTTCTAAAATAATACTGACTTTTAAATAACTTGTAGGGTCTATTTGTGTATCTTATAAGTGAGAACTGTAAGAGTAGTAACTGCACAGGAGGAGGGTTAAAAGTACCCTTTATTAACTCTTTAAAATTTGCAATGCGTCAGCTCGACGCTAACACACTACGCCTCGCTTGGGCGGTAACTGTAATCACAGAACTAAACTAAAAATTCGAAGATATATGCACAAGTATTAGAACCAAGTTACAAGGGCTCAGATATTCCTGTTATTTAAACCGTGTCGAAACTAGTGTTGGCATGTAAATGTAGTTAAGTCATGTAAACCGGCAATAACTCCGAGAGTACAAGCTGACGCAACGGAGGTGACGGCAGTAGTTTAACTCTCTCTAACTTCGGTTTTTAAACTCTTTCTTCACAAACTAGAATTTGCATTCCTTCACGCGCGCTACCAAATTTAAATATTCTGGCATTGACAATTATAAGAATGAAGGCTTATAGGAAATTTTAAAATTAAACTTGTTAGTTAAAATAAATATAAATTCCTACAAACTATTAATAAAAGTACTTCATTTATAGAGAACTATTACTAAAAAATACTCATTTATATTTATATATTTATTACTAAAAATGCTTATTTATAGATAACTATTATTGAAAAAATGCTCATTTATAGATAATTATTACTAAAAAATACTCACTTATAGATAATTATTACTAAAAAATACTCATTTATAGTTAATTTTTACTAAAAAATACTCATTTATAGATAAGTATTACTAAAAATGCTCATTTATAGATAACTATTACTAAAAAAATACTCATTTATAAATAACTTGAAATGGCGGTTAATCCGAGAGCAGTTAAAAAAGGACGGGGAAAAAAAAAAAAAAAAAAAAAAAAAAAAAAAATTACTGCGATTAAAAGGAAAATTCTATTAACTTCTTGCTTGTATTTTCAAGCAGTTTAATCTGGAAAATACATTCATTTGGTTATGTTAAATAAATTAGTATTCACTCTCTTTCTTCCTTTTCCTATGGATATTTCTTCCTTCCCTCGCGGTCCCACCAGCGGCCGAGCGGTAAAGTCGCTGAACACTGGTAGTTCGGTCCGAGGTTTGAATCCCGCGAACGGGCTGGCTACATGAGTGTTTCCGTGGTTTTCCCCATGTGTAACGTGTATACGAGCCAGTTTTCCTTAGAAAGTCCTCCACAAAGGCATCCCTCCCCTTATCAAATAGCCCTAGTGTGCTTTGCCATAATTAAATACACCACACCATCCTTCCCTCGCAGTATACACACCGTTTTCGCTTACTGTACTTTTATATTTATATAAGAACCCATGCGAAATAGTAGATTAATTGCGTTACACTCGAGTTATTTTTAAGATTGAGCAATTTAACTGTTTACGAATGACTTTACAATGTTTATATCAGTGATTCTCAATTTGTTTTGCCCTATGCACCCCTTTCACCATAGCTAGACGATGATTCCCTGCCCCGTCCTTTCCAAAACTCGAAAACGTAAATATGCATTTATATATGTAAAATAAATATGCATTTATTTAAATTTAGTTATTTTTAATGCGTTTTATTAATTAAACAAAAGAAATATATAGAAAATGTTGATAAATGCCAAAACTTGAATAAAAGTAGTTTTTTATATTTATAAGCTAAATGCTTAACAAATAAATAAAATGCTAACACTATTAACCCGGTTTTTTATATTAGTACAATTAAACTGCATACTTATTATTAAGTACAATTAAATTGCATACTGCTGTGAATAAAAACAACATTCAAATACTGTGAGATCATCTGCTGTCCCTGCTGTTATTCCACGCATTTTTCTGCTCTGTGTTTCTCCATGGACAGTTTTGTTTTACGCTGTTGGTTTATAAATTGTAATTTTTTTATCGTTCCGCAGTAAGTAAATTTATCTTTTGCTTTTAGATTGAGCCAAGTTAATTCGCCCCGGATTATTTGGGAGTAACTGTATACAGTATGATGTTGACTGAAGTTTATTGTTAAACTGAGTTGACTGTAATATTAAAGTATTAAATGCTTATGCACAACTTTTAAGCTGGCTCATTGTTAAGCCTCCTTATTGATTAATGGATGGGGATGAAAAAAGTAGAATAAATGAATAGGAATGAAAAAATACCGTTATATAATTTATCAGTTTTTGAGTTTCATTTGTTATTACCAGCATACTTCGATTTCGAGTGCAAACCAGTTTAAGATAATTTTCTCTTTCATTTTTCTATGTCGATAAATATGCTTTTTTCACAGTGGATTCTTAATTTTTGTTCCCTATTTCAGGGTTACAGTGCTATGCATCTCGCTGCCATGTTCGGACGAGAAGAAATAATGGAAGTTCTCATTAACACATATCGTAAGTTAACTTTACGAATTTCATTGAAGAATAATTTTGGTGGGAGGGGGACGTGGAGTTTGAACTCAGATATTTTAATTTAGATATATTTTACGCACATTACGTGCTTTTCAATTTACTTTTATAAATCTTGTGTAAATGAATTAAATAAAATTTATTACTTGCATGAAGTATTTTTAGTAATTTTTCCATCATTTATTATTATTGTTATTATTACTTTAGAGAAATAAAGCTTTCTAAGAAAAATTACGGACTTAATAAAGGTGAAGGTTGAAATAATGTTCTTGTGATTTTATTAATTAAGTTCTGTTAGTCTCGAAATGGGATTTTGCGTCGAATCAGTATAAATACATCGTTTCACTTTTCATTCGAGTCTGTTACTAGTCGGCAAAATAAAAAATATTTATTTTTCAAATTGAATCTATCTGTTGTAGACTGCACTATTTGAAAGCAATAGATGCAGTTCTTAAGAATATTCGTTTCTTGCATTTGAAACGGATTGATTTAAATAATAATGCACTTAGTTCATGATGTATCTAGTTAAAAATATTCAACATTTTCATAAAATGGTCTTATATATTTTTAACCTAAAAGGGTGTTGGGCTATTAAACAGCGTTTTGAAACAGCATTTTACGTCGAATCACTAAAAGTTTTGAATCGCTTTTTAAATTGTTGCCTCCAAATATTATCGCCCTGTATTATATTTAAAGAAATTAAATAATGACGAATCTGCATGAATGTATATATGTTTCTCGCATTGTCAAAAAGAAATGATACCTAGAACCATCAAATTTTGAATAACATAGTCCTCCACCTGAATATGGGTACCTGCAGCCCGAATTTTGAATTTGTTTTATTGTCTGTGTCATATTTTGTAAAACTTTAATTTTTGATTAAAATACTCAACGAATTGAAAGTGATCAGTGGCAGTAATATACGGAATAAAACATTTTTATCTTCTGTGCAGGAGATTTTGGAAATTCTTAAGGTATGTTATTTTTAATCATTTTTAGCCCAAAGTAGCATTAGCCCATATGCTCTTAAAACGTCTATGTAAATGAAAAAAAGCCTCTTTGGGCGTAGTATAAAATCTGAACAGATTTATTATAAAATCTGTTCAGATTTTATATAATATTTTTCTTATTTATTTCATATTTTGTAAAACTTTAATAAATTTTTGATTAATAAACACAGAGATTTCAAAGCGAGCAATGGCAACACTTCAAAATAAAACATTGGTATCGTGCGAGACTGTCTATCGGAAATTCTAAAGCTATGCTGTTTTTAAATATTTTGTCGGTCGTTGAATTGAATTTTATGCGACGTAAACAAAGTTAACACACAAAATGTGAATAACAAAAATAGGAAAGAAAGTTTTGTAAGAAACCTCACTAAGAAAATTGATCATTGTTATGATAAACTAAGAAAAGTCTGTAAAATTGTATGCCAGCTGTATCGAAATTCTCAACATATGCTGTTATGCTGCTTTTAAAATTCACGTATTAATACGTCTACGTAACAAATGTCTCAGACAGTGTTATGTTAGTAACATTTTACAGAAGGATTTGAGAGTATCACACAAATTCGTGATGCGAAAACATGCTGCTCAGGCTTTGCGTCATCCATATCCTATTGTTCTTTATGTTGATGAAATCAGTAAAGATTTGTTTTTAATGCATATACATTAAGCATTAAAAACAAATCTTTACTGATTATATTATTAATAACATCTCAGCCTTTCATGAATACCAAAGACATCTAATATCAGTCCTCGTTCAAAGAAGAATTGTTTGGAAAGAAAGAGATACCTTACCGTCAAGATTTCGTAATTGTCGCTGCTTCAAACTGAAATTTTAAATTTAGAAATCTGATGGGGCTCTCTGCAGCTAGAAAGTCATTTGTATTAGTATTATTAGTCCAAAGCGCGTTAGCCCAGAAGGGCTATTAATTTCGTTTTGACAGTTTGCGTTGGTTCACTATAAATGTCGGTTCATTTTTCAAATTGTTGCCACCAAATATTAGAGCCCTGTGTTATATTTAAAAAAAAAATAATTATGAATCTGCATAAATGTATGTATGTTTCTCGCATTGTGATAAAATAACGGTATCTAGAGCCATCCAATTTTGAATGACGTGATCTTCCACCGGATATGGGATCTGGAAGGCCGAATTTGAAATTTGTTTTATTGCTGATTTCATATTTTGTAACACTTTAACAAATTATGAAACTTAACAATATCAAAGCAACTCACTCAACAATACTCAACAATATCAAAGCAAACAATGGCAACATTGTATTGGAAGGGGGAGAAAGAAAATTTTTTTATCTCCAGCACGCGAGACTCTGTATCGGAAATATTAAAGATATGCTCATTCTAAAATTATTTTGCGATATTGCTGTTGAATTGAATTTTTAAGTGCGGAAAACGTGATATTTAATAAATAAAGGTAACACACAGAATGTTAAAAAAACGCCCCTTTGGACGTAATAAAAATCTTAAACCTTTCAGATTTTTTTATTTTATTTATTAGTCCAAAGGGATTTGAATCCCGAAGGACTATTAGTTTCGTTTTGGCATTTTGCGTCGGACTCATAAATGTCGGTTCACTTTTCAAACTGTTGCCACAAAATGTTGAGTCCTGCATTATATTTGAAGAAATTAAATAATGAAAAATCTGCATAAATGTATGTATATTTCTCGTATTGTGATAAAACAACGGTACATAGAGTCATCGAATTTTGAATAACGTAATCCTCCAACGAATATGAGCATGTGGAAGACCAAATTTGAAATTTGAAATTTGTTTTATGATCGATTTCCTATTTTTTAAAACTTTTAAAACGAATTTTTGATTAACAAACTCAAGGATTTCAAAGCGAGCAATGGCAACGTTGTGCAGAAAAAAACATTTTTATCTCCAGCGCGTGAGTCTCTGTATCGGAAATTCTAAAGATATGCTCGTTTTAAAACTACGAGTATTTTGCGATATTGCTGTTGCACTGGATCTTATGGTTTAAGTGCGAGGAACATGATATTTAATAAAGAAAGGTAACACACAAAATGTTAAAAAACGCCCCTTTGGACGTAATTTAAAATCTGAAACATTTCAGATTTTTTTTTTTTTTTATTTATTTTTATTTTTTTAACCGTTTGACAAAATTTCCTATTTTATTGAGCGAGGTGAATGAGAAGAAGGGTAAAATTAGGAGAGAACTGACTGAAAGCTTTTAAAGAATTACCATATTTTCTCATTCGCGCTCTTATGTTGTAGGTAAGCACGTTCCGGCTATCAGTTGGAAAAGTCTGTGGTTTGAATCCTGGAGAGAACACATTTGATTTTTCACCTTTCCTGCATTGAAAAGCTAATATCGCCGACCTAAAATATGCTTCTTTATAATTCATTATTACTTGAATTTAATCGGCGAGTCTTGTGTCTCTTCATAGTCGCTTTTTAAGCGGGAAGGATGTAATACATTTTCATATTTTCTCGTGCGAACTATTTATCTTTCAAGCGGTTAGCATATACGGCCTTCATTTGGAAGATCAGTTGCTCGAATTTCGGCGAAGGCGTTATTAATATTTTGCGTTTTTTTATTCCCGAAAGCCTATGTTTCTGCAAACTACCTTATGTAAAGTTACTTAAGCAATAAACTTCGTATGCAATGCTGAATCAGTTGTTTGAGCATGAATGATTTAGCTGTACCCGAAAGAAAGTAAGATATCAGAGATAAATTCATTTAATACTCGGCATAAGAACTGTTTGGAAAGCCTTAAGCCTACCTCTTGAATAATGTTGCCAGTAGCGATGAACTATTAGTAATCGAAACTTCCTTAACTGTAAATTCATGTATTAGAAATATTGATAATCGTTTTGCTTATGTGCTTCGCCATCATGGAAGCTATGGGTATAAAAGTGATGATTTCTTAGCTAAAGATGCTTTAAATTCATCCATCGACATCGTTAAAAGTTTTCCAAAGAGTTATTGGAAGTTCTTTTATACTTAGAAGCTTTTATCTAAGTGGAATGAGAGTTACATTTCATCTTGTGATGCTGGGGGCACCAAAAGGTTCTTTCCTTTTATTAACCGGAGAATGGATTCCTAAAAGAAAAAGCTTCGCTGGCAGCGAAGTCTCGCCTAGCTAAGGAAAACATGTCCCGGCTACACTGGATATTTTGAAACTTTGCCGAAAATGTACAGTCTGTAGCTCTGTCCATCAACCAATCAGACGGAAATTCTGCTTCTGAAGGATCACGCAATCACAAGATAGCGATAATAACTCTTTGGCGCTCAAGTCTTTGTAGTGAGTGAAAATGGTAACCAAGCTACATGGGTTTCCTCGAAATGTGCGGGTTCTGAGAAATGTCCCTTTCGACGTCCACTCTTGCGTTGCGGAAGCATATGTGGTAAGGACTTTACAGTTGTGGTGCACCGGAGATTGTATGTGTTAAAAGTCATGGCCGATTTTATATGCCATTATTTCCACTGACAGACATTTTTTTATGTGTCACTGATAAAGTTGTGCCCATTCTTGGATGAATTTTACATTTTTTTTATAAAGTTGCGGTAAGAAGAAAAGGAGCGACTACAATCTAGCCAGCCAGAGAAGCAGAAAGAGTCCTTTCATTTTTTGAGTGGGTTAATAAAATGAGTACCAAGTTCGCTTGGGGATTAAACACCGGGGGTTCTGCGACAAGCTGAACCACTTGCCCAGGGCACGAAAGCAGATTTCGGGACACTGAAGGACGGTGCCGCTAGGGCTGTTGCGGTCATGAGTTTAGTTTATATATATAGTATATACTTTTAGTATTACCGATTGCTATGAAAAAGGAAGATGTGCAGCTAAATCTTATTGCAGCTCCATATAACAAAATTTCAGTGTTCTTCGGTTAACCATGAGTTCTGCGGGATACATACATGCATGTATATATACAATCATACGTACGTACAGACGTCACAAAAAAATTTAGTTCCTTTTTGCAATCCGTTTTGGAAAAA